AACCTACCTCTGGGGTTGTCGCTTTGCCCTTCATACAGATCACCAAGCACTTACAACCTTACTCACCTCTAAAGGTTCTGGACGCGCTGGACTGAGGATCATCAGATGGTCATCTCGACTGCTCTGCTTCACATCTGACGTCACTTATTGCCCAGGACACCAAAACGTCACTGTTGACTGCCTTTCCAGGTTACCACTAACTGCTGCAAATGAGGCTACAGAGGAACCTGACATGATTGCAGATGTTTGTAAGGAGTCACTGTGTGCCATTTCTCTTTCAGAGTCCACTTCTGCCAGTGAAACCTGTCCAGAACTGTCACTGCTGCACAACCAGATTCAAAAAGTTTGGCCCAAATGCAGACAAGGTCTTCCCGAGAACCTCACTTCATGTTTTCAGGTATGAGACGAGCTGTCAGTTCATGGTTCACTGATAATGAGAGGGACTGATCGACTAGTTGTTCCTGTTTCATTACGTGCCAGAGTTGTTGATTTAGCACATGAGGGACACCAAGGCATAGTCCGAACCCAGCAGAGACTGTGTGAACTGTTCTGGTGGCCACAACTGGACGAACTTGTACATTCTGTCATTGCTTCCTGTGTTAACTCCCAGTTCAGTGATAAGGTAGCTATAACTGTCCCTGCTCCACTTACACCAGTTGAGTTGCCCAGTAAACCATGGGAAAAAGTTGCAACAGACATTACAGGCCCATTTGAAAATGCTACATGGGACTGCCATTACACTACAACAGAGTTCCTGCACAACTATTGAGCTACTCCTCATGCAACCACAGGAACGACTTCATTTGAACTACTGAGAAACAGAAATGTGCACAAAGTTAAACATACGCCCAGCAGCACTGAAAAGCAAAGCACACACCCAAATCAAAGAGGGTGAAACAAAAGCAGAATAAAATGAAGGAATACACAGACAAGAAAATGAAAGCTAAAACATCAACAGCCAAAGTGGGTGACACTGTTCATGTTCGCAGACCTGAGCACGTTCTCAAAGGCTCTTCAAGATTTACAGAACCACGGACTGTCATGAAGAAAGTTGGACAAAACATATTTACTAAATGACGGACGCAAGTGGAATGCTTCAAAACGTGCACACTTCCCAAAACAAGCCTTAACTGGCTCAGAACAAAACAATGACACTGTGCTGGATACCTTTGCACGTCCTGGAAACACTAATGAATCTGCTGCACTTAGAAGAAGTCAGAGATCTAGAAATGCACCAAGATGGTTAACAGGCTTTGTAAGATAAAGTGAAAACTAAATGTAAATTACTGCTGTTCAGACTGGTACAAGTGTTCTTTAAGATGTACTACTGTGTTGCTAAAGTACAACACAAGAAAAAGTTACATACTGTGTAAGTAATTGCTTCAGAGAAAGGGAAATTGTTGTGTTCTGCTTCTGAATTGTTATTGCATAGAAAGAGCACTAGAGGGTGCTCTAAGACTATGATGAAAAAGATGCTGTACAGAGAGACGGAGGAGGAAGAACAAAAGGAAGGAAGTAAAGAAGGAGAACTGTACGTGATCCACGTGTCTGCTTATTTTTCATTTAATTCAATCTTGCAATCCACAACAAGAGGTTGGAGTTTCGTAGTCCAAGTAGTAGGTTTCTATTGTGAGCTCTTCTTGTGTGAGACTGAGATGTTCAGACGACACATTTAACATAAAACACACATCACTATCGGGAGCTGGAGTAGCCGCTGCCTTAAAGGGCGCTGCCATTTTATAGGTGAGATGATCTGGTGAGCAGGGACACTGCTGTCTTGTCTGGTCTAGGTTTGTGATAACTTTCAGAGTTTGGGCTGCTCCTCCACCGCATTCGTTGCTGCTATTTTTGCAGCTGGTTGTTTGGACAGTGCACGTCTCCTCTGCTCTGCTGTAATGGGGTGCAGGACTGGGCATTAACAATTTGTTCCACCATCTGTACTATGTTTGATTTATTATTGTATGTGGAATAACAGAAAAATCTGCCGTTACCTCATGCTCCCTTTGTCCTCAGGGAATGAGTAGTAGGCCTGAAGCCTGTGCTTTTAATAGGATTATCTGTTTTAATAAATTATAATATTTTATAGAACTTAGTCAATGTCAATGTGTTCTTCTGAACCTGTGGTGTTTTAAAACATTGGGGAAGAACACGCCTCACCTGGCGGTTCACCCTCCCCACTCTGTGCACTCTATGCATATCTTCTATAAGTCTGTTGTAGAGAGCGCTGTCTCTTCTGCATCATCTGCTGGGGGAGCAGCACCAGAGCAAGAGACTTAAAAAAGATCAACAAGCTCATAAAGAAGGCTGGCTCAGTTCTGGGGACTCCTCTAGAACCTTTGGAGATGATTGTACCAAGAAGGATTCTTCATAAAATGAAGAACATTATAGACAACCCTCAGCATCCTCTTCGTCAGACTGTCATACAACAACAGACTGTCATACAACATCAGACTGTCATACAACATCAGACTGTCATACAACAACAGACTGTCATACAACATCAGACTGTCATACAACATCAGACTGTCGTACAACAACAGACTGTCATACAACATCAGACTGTCATACAACATCAGACTGTCATACAACATCAGACTGTCGTACAACAACAGAGTGTCATACAACATCAGAGTGTCATACAACATCAGAGTGTCTTCAGTCAGAGGCTTCTTCAGATCTGTTGTAGGACAGACGCTACAAGAGATCCTTCCTGCCCACAGCCACAAGCATCTAGAAAAACTCTTTAATGAAACCAGGATGATGAGTTACAACAACATTTAATTTATCTCTGGGATTAATAAAGTAGTTTTGAATTTAATTGAATTTCACTGGGGTGGTGCAGCTGGTTTGATGGTTGCTTCAAGCAGCGAGCAGAACGAAGGTGGAAAACTATGGCAAGCTGATTGTGTCATTAATAGCTGGTGAAGATTCTCAGTCATCCACATAGTAAATTCAAAAAAGTTCAAGACAAAAACAATAAAGTATAAAGTAAAATAAAGTCCAGTTGTTTTTGTCTTGAACTTTTTTGAATTTGTCATTATAGCCACATTCACCTATTACATGATACAACAGCATGCCTTACTACTACTACTACTCTGCTACCATCAAGTAGCTGAAAGTGATACTGTTATTTTTTTTTGTCAGTCAGATTCAATGAAAACGGTCATATCTCAGCCAAAAATTGGTTTGTAAATATGGAAAAAAAATCCATAAATATGTTGCTTTGGCTTTTAAGGTGCAGGGCATGTAAATTATGCAAAAAAAAAAAAAAAAAAAAAAAAGCTACTTATAGGCCAAAAAATACGGTATATTGTGTGCAGCTAGCTTAGCATTACGCCAGTGCCGGTGGGGTGGTGGGGGGTGCACAGTTTGGTTCGTTACTTTGGCGTGCTCAGTTCTGTTAATGGGACGGGGTGCCCCGCTTGTATAATAGTAGGGGAAACACTGACATATTTACGTCATGAAATTAACATATCATGATATAATTTATTTTCCTGGGCAAGCTTTTTTTACTGGTATTGTTGTGAACGATATGACATGGCCCAGCCATGCAGGACTTCAAGGACTTGGGGTCCACTGTCCAGGAACATGGGGAGTGTGGTAAAGAGGTGAAGAAGAGAGTCCAGGCAGGATGGAGTGATGGAGAAAAGTTTCTGGAGTGATTTGAGACAAAAGGGTGTCAGCAAAGGTCAAAGGAAAAGTTTACAAGACAGTGGTGAGACCAGCTATGTTGTATGGTCTGGAGACAGAGACATGGACAAAAAGACAGGAGACAGAACTGGAAGTGTCAGAAATGAAGATGTTGAGGTTCTCCTTAGGAGAGACAAGATGGAGAAGATCAGGAATGAGATCATCAGAGGTACAGCACAGGTTGAACAACTGGGAGATAAAGTTAGAGAGGACACACTGAGATGGTTTGGACATGTCCAGAGGAGGGACAGTGGTTTGGACATGTCCAGAGAAGGGACAGTGGTTTGGACACGTCAAGAGGAGGGACAGTGGGTTGGACACGTCCAGAGGACGGACAGTGGTTTGGACACGTCCAGAGGAGGGACAGTGGTTTGGACACGTCCAGAGGAGGGACAGTGGTTTGGACACGTCCAGAGGAGGGACAGTGGGTTGGACACGTCCAGAGGAGGGACAGTGGTTTGGACATGTCCAGAGGAGGGACAGTGGGTATATTGGTAGAAGGATGT